TGGGGGTGGAATAGGGTTTGTCCCATCCCGATTACAAAGATCACTATAATAATTAGAATGGAATCCTGCATTTATGTTAATCTCCACAATTTATTCATATCAAGATGACTTGCCTTTATCTTTTTGACCTTTTATCTAACAAAAAGAGAATTAATGGTACGTAATTTTATGTAGATATGAATATACCAAATTCTACTACCTAAGTCAGTAGTAAGAATATATTGTTAATAATTTGTTGATATGGATGCAATCAAAGTCAATTCAATCACTAAATTAAAGGCCTTTGTCAAGACATATATTGAATTGATAAATCATATACCATTCACATTGCAATATAAATGCGGATGTTAAATAGATCTATCATATATATATGTTTTTAAAAAAATGAGTAAAGTTTTAATAAATTTTTTATTTTGTATATATATATCGATAGGGTCAAAATAAAAGACTTCAGTTCTTGAAAAGTTCTCTCTGATTTGAAGTGTGGATTGATTGATTCAGTCTGGTCGGAGCGTGCGAGTTCGACGGTACCTGCAAAGCGTTGGAATTGTTCCGAAGCAAAATCCTCTGACACCCAAGTTAATATCTTGAAGATGAAGTACAATAATGTGTATTGAATGTAATAATATTGGAATTAATGAAGTCTTACCTAATAATAGCGGAATTCAACATGTATATAGCGTTTAATTGTACGGACTTCTCTCTATGGTCATAAGTCCTCAGATATCTATCGATCGAGAGTAATTCCATCTGATGCTCGGACAAATGGGTATGCGTTCGACCCACCTCGCCCTTTGTCACATGTTCAGCCCTAGGCTCGTGTAAGACCGTTTAAGCCGGTCGAGCTCCCCAATGACCCTTCTCACCCCACTCGGCCGTTGGGCCTATTCGACCCTTTATTCGGTTAACTCAGGTTGGTGCTATAATACCAATCATATATGATAATATGAAGTATGATATTTTATTATGAGAGCAGTAATCCTTGCATTATACATAACCAAAAAAAAAAAAA